GGGCCCCGAACCGGGGTCGAATACATGGGAGTCTAGCGACATAGCCATTACGCTAACTGCTGGTTCCCAAATAATTATTTTTAAAAAGTGTTCATTTGCATGGGGCTGGCAGGTGGCCTGTTGGCTAAGGTGCTGGACTCCCACGTGGTCAACCACGGTTTGAGTCCCGGACCTGAAAGCTTGCTTTCTCACTTTCTCTCTCTCTCTCCCTCTTTCTTTCTCTGACCAAATTAAAACATAATAACAAACAAAAATAAATAAATAAATAATTTTTTAAAAGTCATCTGTCTTAAAAAATAAAAATAGTTCATTTGCATAGGGTCCTTGGGTGTTGTGGTTATTTTTTTCTGAATTTCAGTTTGTATCTGTAGGAGGTTGCTGAGGAAGAAGAGGACAGGGGAGGACAGTGGGTAAAACTCCAGGTAGAGTCGGCGGCTTGGTCTGACCCACTTCAGGAGAGAGGCGGTGAGTAAAAGCTGATGGGACATTTTTGGTGAGGACTCTGTGTAAGCTGTGCACCTAGCTGCCCCTGGGGGGCTCCCCCATTCTGTTTAGGGTGGTGTTCCAGAGCATGGCAGGAGCAGCACAGAGCAGGGGTATCTTGCAACGGATGTCACCTGCAGTCCCTTGAAGAAAGTAGGGGTTTTTGGTTTTGTTTTCCTTTATGCCAGAAAGCATTCACTCACCAAAGAGAGGTAGGCAGACATAGAGGGGGAGGGAGAAAGCACATACCCAAACTCACACACACACACACACACACAATGGGGCATGGTCATGCAGAGAGAGGGGGAGGGAGAAAGCACATACCCAAACTCACACACACACACACACACACAATGGGGCATGGTCATGCAGAGAGAGGGGGAGGGAGAAAGCACATACCCAAACTCACACACACACACACACACACAATGGGGCATGGTCATGCAGAGAGAGGGGGAGGGAGAAAGCACATACCCAAACTCACACACACACACACACACACAATGGGGCATGGTCATGCAGAGAGAGGGGGAGGGAGAAAGCACATACCCAAACTCACACACACACACACACACACAATGGGGCATGGTCATGCAGAGAGAGGGGGAGGGAGAAAGCACATACCCAAACTCACACACACACACACACACACAATGGGGCATGGTCATGCAGAGAGAGGGGGAGGGAGAAAGCACATACCCAAACTCACACACACACACACACACACAATGGGGCATGGTCATGCAGAGAGAGGGGGAGGGAGAAAGCACATACCCAAACTCACACACACACACACACACACAATGGGGCATGGTCATGCAGAGAGAGGGGGAGGGAGAAAGCACATACCCAAACTCACACACACACACACACACACAATGGGGCATGGTCATGCAGAGAGAGGGGGAGGGAGAAAGCACATACCCAAACTCACACACACACACACACACACAATGGGGCATGGTCATGCAGAGAGAGGGGGAGGGAGAAAGCACATACCCAAACTCACACACACACACACACACACAATGGGGCATGGTCATGCAGAGAGAGGGGGAGGGAGAAAGCACATACCCAAACTCACACACACACACACACACACAATGGGGCATGGTCATGCAGAGAGAGGGGGAGGGAGAAAGCACATACCCAAACTCACACACACACACACACACACAATGGGGCATGGTCATGCAGAGAGAGGGGGAGGGAGAAAGCACATACCCAAACTCACACACACACACACACACACAATGGGGCATGGTCATGCAGAGAGAGGGGGAGGGAGAAAGCACATACCCAAACTCACACACACACACACACACACAATGGGGCATGGTCATGCAGAGAGAGGGGGAGGGAGAAAGCACATACCCAAACTCACACACACACACACACACACAATGGGGCATGGTCATGCAGAGAGAGGGGGAGGGAGAAAGCACATACCCAAACTCACACACACACACACACACACAATGGGGCATGGTCATGCAGAGAGAGGGGGAGGGAGAAAGCACATACCCAAACTCACACACACACACACACACACAATGGGGCATGGTCATGCAGAGAGAGGGGGAGGGAGAAAGCACATACCCAAACTCACACACACACACACACACACAATGGGGCATGGTCATGCAGAGAGAGGGGGAGGGAGAAAGCACATACCCAAACTCACACACACACACACACACACAATGGGGCATGGTCATGCAGAGAGAGGGGGAGGGAGAAAGCACATACCCAAACTCACACACACACACACACACACAATGGGGCATGGTCATGCAGAGAGAGGGGGAGGGAGAAAGCACATACCCAAACTCACACACACACACACACACACAATGGGGCATGGTCATGCAGAGAGAGGGGGAGGGAGAAAGCACATACCCAAACTCACACACACACACACACACACAATGGGGCATGGTCATGCAGAGAGAGGGGGAGGGAGAAAGCACATACCCAAACTCACACACACACACACACACACAATGGGGCATGGTCATGCAGAGAGAGGGGGAGGGAGAAAGCACATACCCAAACTCACACACACACACACACACACAATGGGGCATGGTCATGCAGAGAGAGGGGGAGGGAGAAAGCACATACCCAAACTCACACACACACACACACACACAATGGGGCATGGTCATGCAGAGAGAGGGGGAGGGAGAAAGCACATACCCAAACTCACACACACACACACACACACAATGGGGCATGGTCATGCAGAGAGAGGGGGAGGGAGAAAGCACATACCCAAACTCACACACACACACACACACACAATGGGTCACGCAGCGATCCAGCCTCCTCCTAGTTTTCCATCCGGTCAGAATTTTGGGCACGTATGTACACACTCTTGGTGCAGTTTTTCAAGCCACTGGGGCTAGGATTTGAACCTTGGCCAGCCATGATGGCTCTGATTCCCTTAACTATTAGGAAAGGGTTGGCAGAAATATGTTTTCATGAGGAAACAAAAGCAGGACTTGGGTGGCCCTGTGGCCTAATAGTTAAGAAGTTGAATCCCACATAACCAAGCAGTTCAAATCCAGGCCTCAGCACCTTGAAAACCATACTGGGCATGTATGCGTGTGCCCTAAATCCTGATGGAACAGAGAAATGGAGAAGGATTGTAGCATGTCCACACCCCATTAGGGAGTGCTTTCTCACTCTGTGTCACTCTAATGAGTATATTCATCCTCTGGCAAGTGCAAGGGGTGGGGGGTAGCAGGTGGCACAGTGGTCAAGGTGCTGGACTCCCACATGGCCGACTATTTTGAACCTCAGACCCAGGGGCTTGAAACTCACACTGGATGAATGTGCGTGCATACCCAAAATCCCGAGAGGAGAATGGGGGAGAATGGATTGAGGCATGGCCATCCCCCTTGGGAGTGATTTCTTGTTTTCTGTCTCCCTATCTCTCTCTGTCTTTCCAGCAAGCGCACATTGCCTGTAGCAAAAAATCTCTAACAAACAAACAAACAAAAGCAGGACTTGATCCCAAACACACTTGACAAATGCCTAGAATGAATTAGTACTACTTCTGTGGAGGGAAAGGGGACAGTGACATCCTGTCAGTGACAAGAATGAATCAAAGTTTGGGATACTCATGTTTACATGACTTCTAGGAGCCCCAGGGGACATTTGAGATTATCCAGTTTGAGGTGCATGTGACGTTACTTATTGCAAGAGCAGCTCCTGTAAACTGCACTTCCATGACAATGGATCACTGTCTAATTAAGAATTACCCGAGCACAACAAATTCAGTCCACCCAAAGTCAGCAACCTCGTGCTCATGGTTCAGGGCCTGCTTGCTGCTGGCTGTCACCAGACTTCAGTAGCTTCATTGTACCAGTGGGTGATGTGTGACGTGATACGTAGAATAAAGTGAAAAAGTGACAAATGACCAGTAATAAAACAACAAGGATATACCCAGGAGATCAGGAAATAACAGGACAAAATTATTATATCAGGTTATGCAAGAAGGCTCAAGCGGGTGACCTGAAGAATACAACTTGCCTCCTAAGTACCTTGAGGCTCTGCTTTCTCTAGGATATGACGTAATAATGAAATTAGCACTTACTGAGTCCACATCAATGCCTTGAAAATGTATTGCTGCTATTATCCTCATTTTACAGATAAAAAAATCTGGGACACAGAGAAGAAAGGACACTTGTCCCAGGCCACAATTTCGAAAATGGAAAAGCCAGGATTTAAATTCGTACTTTCTGACTTCAGAAGCCATACTCTTAGTTATTACTCTTTATAACTTTTCCTTAACTTCCATAAACAGAATCCACCTCCAAGTTAATAAATGAAAACTACAAAAGGAAAAGAATTAACATTAGAGTGTAGAAAAACATTTCACAAAACTGAGATCTGGGGAAAAAGTCAGCTCTAACATCAGTTATTTATGATGCAATGAAACCATGTCTTGTTCTTGCTTTCTTCTACTTTAACATGTAAACCAAACAAAACTGTGCCAGATACAGTAGGCACTCCTGTTTAGAATTGTGTGGCTCAATTACTCAAAAAAGAAAACGATATTCATAAAAACGTGGCATCAGATACAGACCTCAAAAACTCACCAACCTACCATTTTTATCACCAACTTCCCCATGTGAATGAGGCTGGTTTTCTTCCCGACAGTCTCAACTGTTCATTATAATTTTTAAAGCAATATTTACTTACCAGATTAAATTGTATATATGTACATTTTTATATACCATTCCCTAATATAAATATGGAATTGAAAAATAGTTAATGTCCAACTTTTCAGATCTATTGCCTCTTGTCCTTTCTACGATGAAGTATTGGGACCAGCAGATGGCATAATGGTTATGTTACTGGGCTCCCACGTGGCCGGCCGTGGTTTGAGTCTGGACCTGGAGGCTTGAAACTCATGCCTGTGCATGTGTGTGCATGCCCAGAATCTTGAGAGATTGGAGGAGAAGGGACTGCTGTGTGGCCATCCCCCACTTGGGTGTGATTTCTTGCTTTCTGCCTATTTGTCTCCCCAGTGGAAGCATGCACCCTATAGCAAAAATCTCTCTCTTAAAAAGAAAAGAAAAGAAAAGAAAAGAACCAAGTATTATATATATTTCCTTTATTTATGATGAGTAACTATAACTTCGGCTACAGAAGGTGTCCCACGAACATCTACTGAGTGGATGGGGGGGGAGTGTAGTAGTCATTGTTATTCATTTTGAATGTTTAGCTCTGAACCTTCTCTAACTTGGGGCATCCCACTTCTCAGGAGTCTTAATGGAACAGAAACCAAAGCCAGACATGGACTCTCCCAGCTGCCCCCACTGCTGGGTGCGGCCCAAGCTCCACCAATCCGAGACACTTGTCCCAGGGCGGGCAATGACATAAAAAGGGGAAATTAGTTGGAATCCTTTTTGAAGGCAAAAATGTAATTTTGACAAAAGTCATTATACAGAAAACGCATCTCACACTGTTTTGCTTTTGCGAAAATACTTCAACATTGTTACCTGAGCATAGTCTGAGCAGCCAGGCAGACTGCTGATGAAGCTGTGCACGTCGTCCACGGTCCACTTCTGCATATCTTCATCCAAAGAGAAGCTTTCCCCAGTGGGAGCCAGGGCCTGTGCTCCTGTGAAAAGGGAAGGAAATCATTTCATGGTTTAAAATTTCCAGGGAAAAGGAGACGCTTACAGCACACGCAATGCACAGGTACATCCGTTTCTTCATGTTCTACCACCAGAGCGGCCTCTTTCTAGATCAATGGCAAACTCCCTAACAGAGGCTAGCATCACTGGGAGGTGGTTTCTAAAACCTTAGCTGTCTTTATTCTTTTCTTACTCTAAAAGGATCCTTCATGACAGGGAATGAAGAATTCTTTGTTTCCTTACTGACTTAGAAGTAAAGAAAGTTCTAGATTTGCTCTAGCTTCTCTGATTCCAACAGAAGTGTCCTGGGGATTTCGTTCTCCAGATTAAAATTGTCATGCCCTGTGATGATCATGCTCTGAAGGTGAGGTAAGACTTTAGCTACATCATCATCAAAATGGCATTGATGTGGTGGCTAGATTATACATCGCCCCAAATCCTTGTGCTTTAAAATATTTCTTTTCTACTCTTGATCTTAGCCAAAAGACTGAGAAGTGATGAGATGTTTTTATCTAAAATTCTAGAAAACTATTCTGTGTGTGTGTTTTCAAGGAGTAATATGCTAATACTTTTAGATTAAAAGATATGACAACAGGGACCAGCAGATGGCGTAATGGTTACATTGCTGGATAGCCATGTATTTGACTGTGGTTCGAGTCCTGGACCTGGTGGCTTAAAACTCATGCCACCAGGTGCATGTGCGTGCATGCCCAAGATCCCCAGAGGAGAATGGAGGGAAGGGGTTGCAGTGTGACCATCCCTTCTGGGGGATGATTTCTCACTTTCTGTCTCTCAGTTCCTTTCTGTCTCTATGACAAGTGCTCACGCCTTACAGCAAAAATCTCTCTTAAAAGATTATCACAACAATAATGGACACTAAAAAGTAACGCTTCTGTTTGATTTCCTATTTCCCCCTATACTTATATACAAGAGAGACAGAATGTATACTTTCAAGCAAGATGCCCCTCTGTTTTGAATTGAAGAAATTAAAAATAAATTAAATTCTTTTTTATTAGGTAGGTTTTTCCCCCATACTCACCTTCCTTGCCTTTGCTGAAAATTCCCTATTCAGCAATATATATACATATATATAGAGAGAGTTTAGTTTCATTGACATAGCTTATTAGAACTCATGAAATAAAGTGACTTCAAGAAGAGGTCATTGTAAACAGGACTAAGAAACTAAAGGGTAAAAAGAGGCATGATGGTTACAGTTGACTGAATAATAATTTAAGGACTTGAAGATGGGTTAGTGAGGATCTGCCCTTGGTCCTGAACACCCACCTGGCAGAGTCGGTTGAGGAGCTGGAGGGCAAATCCCATTCTTTTCACTACAGGCTGCAAAAACCTGCTCTGAAGGCTTCTCTTTCTCACTATCCCAGGCCTTGACTTCCAGGGAAGTGCCGTGAGACGCCCAGGGTTTTCTGTGGGTGGGCTCAAGCTCTTCATAGGTGTTGTCAAGCATTGTAGTGGGCTTTTCATTGGCTTCACTTGCCTTCTGATTGTCCTGAGATTCAATTTCTGCGTCTTTTGCATACTCATCCTCTTCGTAGGGAATAGTGTGAGTCTGGCCTAGTACTTTTTCTTCTACTTGACTTTTGGAACTCTCAATATCAATGTCTAATACTTTCGGATTCCCTGTACCTCTCCGGAGTCGGCGACATTTCTGACCCCAATTCTCTATGAAGTGTGGTCCAGTTGCCATTAGCATGGGATTTCCCTGAAGGTTTTTGAGAGTGCTTCTGTGAAAGTGCAGGTCACTGGCAGGGAGCATGGTCCTGCCGTGGTAGGTGGCTGGGCCAGCTGGGATACCAGAGCCATAGGGGAATGGTACCCCTGAACTGGCCAGTCCCTTGGGATGAACTTTTTCCATTCTTCTTTGCTGGTAAATAGCATACATTTCCATTTCTGTCCTAAAAACATAAGAATATGGTTTATATGATCCGAGAAAACCATCAGAATATAACTTTTTATGACCCCTTACTTTCCCTAAGATTTTTCTGTGTCTTCATGATGTTTATCTAAGTTTGTTCAGTGGAAACACACACACACACACACATAAAACAGAAAGTCATTGGGAATAAGAGTTTGGAATAAGAACTGCAGGTAAATCTCACAGCGGAGGTCCAAGGTCAGTCTTTAGAGTGTAACCTCTAAGAGGAGAAATATAGCAGGGGTGGGAGTAATACAACACAGGGTAGTTCCTTGCCTGAGATGAATCCCAGAGAAACCAGAGCATTAGAAGAAGTTTCTGAGCCCTCCAGTTCAAGTTTAGTGGGACTCAAGAATATCAGTCAATGCAAATCTCAACAGCTATGCATTGATGCAGGTGACTGAGGACGAGGGAAGATGGGTAGGAACTGGGAAAAGAAAGACTTGTTGGTGTTTTGGCTTATTGGTTGTCACATGGTACTCTTAGGGTTCAGTGATGAGAAATAGACTATGCCTTCTCTCATTCTTGGACCCTTCCTAGTATTATTGCTGTGCTTTTTTTCTTTTCTTCTGATTGCTACAACGGAAGGCCACTGTTGGGCTGACGGGCTGTCCCGGCTCTGATGGTGTAATCTAAAATGGAGTTAGCAAAGCTGGCCCCTAGTCTGGGGCAGAATTGAAGCCATGTAAGACAGAAATGCCAATATGGGGACCAGCAGTTGGCATAATGGCTATGTCACTGGACTCCCACGTAGTCGACCACGATTTCAGTCCCGGACCCAGTGACTTAAACTCATGCTGGGCGCATGCTGGGTGCATGTGCATGTGTGCCCAAGATCCCGAGAGGAGAATGGAGAAGAAGGGATTGTGGCGTGGCCAACCCCCCTGGGGGATGATTTCTCACTTTCTGTCTCTCTGTCTTTCTGGCAAGAGCATGCATCCTATAGCAAAAACCTCTTCAAAAAAAAAAAAGCCAATATGAATTTCAGAGAAATCACAACTAGGCATTTTAATTATGGGATAGACAATTACAATCTATAGACGAATACCACTATTAGCTTCACTATATGATTTATAATCTCGCTTTTGTCCTTAACCAACCTGCGTACATGTTTGTATATGTTTCTTTTAATGCCTTCCTGAAATGTTTGTTGTATATTCTCAGTGTGTGTGTATTGATTCATTTTATATATATATATACACACACATATATATATATATATATACACATATATATATATACATACACACACATATGTATATATACACACACACATATTATGATTATAAATATATTTACATATGATATATAGATATATTATAAATATATCAACATACATAAAAGATAAACTATATATATATAAAGCAAACAAATGAATGACTAGTAAACAAAGCCCTATTAGGCTACCTGGCAGTATGATGTCTTTGAATCATTTCATTTCTTCTGGCCACTGCCTTTATGGACTCAGGAGGTAAAATGCCCCAACCTTAAAAAGGAAAACCACCATCCCATTGCACAAGCAAATTAAAAGTGAGTATTTGAAAACAATAACATAAAATATCATTTAAAACAGTATCTACACAAAAGCCATCATTTAAGCACAGCATTGGAAATGGTGCTAGATCATTGCTGTTCAGCATCTTAGTCACATTGTCTATACTTATTTTTAAAGAGTTATTCATTTATTTAATTTCATTTGTTGTTATTAGTCTTTATTTTTTAATTTGACCAAAAAAGAGACAGCGAGAGAGAGAGAGAGAGAAAAATTGAAAAAGCCGCCAGGTCTGAGACTTGAACTGTGGTTGGCCATGTGGGAGTCCAGTGCCTGAACCACCACTCCACCTGCCAGCCCTCTGGTAATAATTTTCAATTCTTTTCTTTAATTTTTTTTTGTCTCATGAATGGTGACATTTTCCTGCTTCAAAAGGGAAAAAAAAGTGAAATGAACTATGACTCTCTTGATCACTTTCCTTTTTTCTCTTTTTAAAAATCTGTTCGTGGGGTACAACACAATGTTTTGATATATGTATACACTGTGGAATTGTAAAGTTAGGCTAATTTTTATTTTATTTATTTTTGGGTAGAGGTGTGTATGTGTGTCCAAAATCCTGACAGGATGGGGAAATGGAGAAGGGATTGCGGCGTGACCCCACCCAACCAGGGTGGCACTTTTCCCCTCTCTCCATCTCTCTCTGGTAGTGCTTGTGTCCTCTGGCAATTAAAAAACAAACAAACAAAAAAGAACCTCAAGCGTAACTACCACACAGCAAAATTCAAAACCCAGCAGTAAGGTGATGGCAAGTTTAATGCAGCTCTTCAGTTCACACTTGCCCTAGGAAGGGAGCCATATCTAGAGCTCATACCTGGGTAGACGTGGTTGGCCAGCATATTCGGCACATTTGCATTTGGTAGAACAGAGGATCCAAATTGGGAAGGTACACAAAACGGTCTTGGGTCAGTTGGAACCATAGTAGAAGGCAGTATGTCTCTAGGGGGGAAAGATATAAAGTAGGTAAGATAAAGATGGAGTTGTACAGAATTCCCATTGCTTAGGGAACAAGACTCTTTTTGTTTTAATCTAATGGTTGGGTTGACCATGTGGGATCAGTGTCTGGTTACCTGGGTGCACAATTAATTTATTTTGCCAAACATCAGTAGTTCCTAAAAGCCCAACTTTACCACTCATACTCCATAAACGAGAATAAATAATGGGCCTTGTTTCTTCTTGGAATGTCAAAATATTCCTAAGAAGAGATGATAGGATACCGCCAGGGTGTGCAATCAAGATAGTTATAATTCTGCTTGTATTAAAAAGAGAGAGTTGTTCTGCCATAGGAAATCCAGGGTATCTGATTGTCACAGACTTGTCTCCCCCCCCCCCCAAATTCACATTGAAGCCTTAACCCTCACTGTGACTGCATGTGAAGAAAGGTGTTTATGGAGTGAATTAAGGTGAGATGAGAGCATAAGCAAGGGCCTCTAATCTGATAGATGTAAGTGCCTTTTAAAGAAGAGGAAGCGACATCAGCAAAAGCACCCAGAGGAAAGACCACATTGAGGACACAGCAAGAAGATGGCCTTCTCCAAGTCAGGAAGAGAGGCCTCAGGAAAACACCAACTTGCAAACATTTTGATCTTGGATTTCTAGCCTCCAGAACTGTGAGAAAATCAGTCATTCTTGTTTAAGCCACCCAGTCTGTCTAAGTCTATTATGGCAGCTGGGAAGGACTAACACCAATGTTTGCACCTACACAAAGTCTGTCACGTAGTACGTGCTCATTGATCATTGGCAGAATGAGTAGGTCAAGGAGGCCTAGAGGGGAAGCCATGGCAGATATCTAGAAGTCAGGACGGCGTAGTATCTTGATGTGAATTATTGCACTACAGTTCACTGACATTACGTTAGATGATAAAACAATGTAGGGGCGAACACCATCCCCAAACTTAGTAATTACCTGTCCATAGGTGGAGGTCCAAATGGTGAGGGAACCAGTGGGATCCTCTGCTGCCCCGATGCTGTCAATAAAGGGTTCACGGCCATCGCTGCGTTTGTCATCAGTATCTCTTGCCACTGATGGAGTTCTGCAGAGAACCAGATAGAAGCATTAACAAAGGATGCTGATTTCTGTGAACTATTCAAATTCTTCTTGAACACAATGAAAATCCTCTGTGTTTTCCCATCACTTGGGAAGACTAGCTACACCAACTTTCAGTTACACAAAAGCTCTCCCATCGGAAGCATTCGGTTCAACTGTAGAACTCAGTGTTTTATAAATGTGCCCTTGGAGAGTCACAGAGTCCACAAGGTAATATACCACACTGCAAGAAGAATAAAATTAAACCAGTCTTGCAAGATTCCAGAAACACCAACTTCCTTTCTTGAAACTTATTTTGATCTTATATTTCCAGAGGTACAGAGGCATAAATTCTCCCGTATGTTTAATCTTTGAAAATTATTCCTATTTATGTGATAAGATGAAAGCAGAAAATGAGGAAAGAACCTTTCTAATGGCTAAAATGACACTAATTTGAACCAGAAACAGGCTGACTACATGAGACTGTGTTTAATCAGAACAAATTGACCAAGTTATAGCCAAGCTTGCTTAAATAGAAGCATTCCCGTGCTTTATCTTCAGTAGCTGCTAGTCGGAAAAGGGACGATGGTCAATGAGGCGATATTTTTGCTTTCCATTTCTTGTTAATTATTAATATCCTTTGAACAATTCTTTTTTAAAATTTCCAGAGAACACTTATGCTCTGTTTCTTTCCTCTATTTCTCCAACCTGTTGGGATTTGGGGCATGCGTGTATTCCTGGCATGTTTCTTAAGACATATGTGGGATCTGATGTCCTTTAGCCACCACGTCAGTGGGCTGGCCTGAACAATTTAAAATATTAGATAAGAGGTAGTCAAACAGGTCATTTCAGCTTAAACTTCATCCTCAGTTGTCACCTAAAAAACAAAACAAACAAACAAACAAAAAAACCCAAAACACTGTTGTTCTGCTTTGCAAAGTATCATAGCCATCTTTCCTTTTTTGCCCCTTTCTTATGCGTATATTTCATTTATTTATTTATTTTAAATTGCCGGTGTGCACGTATGCTCACCCGAGAGAGACAGAGGAAGAAAGGGAAAGTGAAGTAGCACATGGTCATGCCACAATCCCTCCTACTCCGTTTCTCCCTCCTTTCAGGGTTTTGGGCACACATGCACATGCTGAGGAACCTGGCGTGTTCCTCAAGTCTCTGGGTCTGGGACTCCAGTTACATAGTCAGCCATGTGTAATCCAGCCACTTTAACTGCCACACCACAGCTGGTCCTTGACTTAATTTTTAAAATTGTAATTTATCCATATGGTTCAAAAACTAAAACTATAATGTTATTTAGCTTCTTTTTCAGACTTAAACTTAGTGATCAAACTGGAAATTCAAGTCCAGTCGTCAGGGAACATTGACTTTGGCCATTTGTCGATGTTAAAAGTTCTCTATGTCTATTTTTTTCACTGTGTTGCTGTCAGTATAATTTCCTCTCTGACAGTAGCTTCGGAGACTTTAGTGACCACAGTGTAGTCAGCATCAGGATGCAGTTATCTGTGCCTGCAAGCTTTGGTAAGAAGGCCAAGGAAGTGCACAAGCTGGGTCAGATGTGGACCCACGACTGTGGTGAGGACACTGCCCCGAGACTAGAAATCTCAGGTGGCCTGCATGAGATCTGGTGCAAGGCAGCCGTCTCCCTCGACCGTTGCTCAACACGAAAATGGGGGCTATGGCTTGGTGTTTCATTTGCAAAAACTGACCAGTTTTGGTTTGTGTCAGACTTGATGGTCTCTAGCCCTACAAACTTACTTGTCCATGAGAGAGAACCTCCAAAGTTACACCATGGAGTGCAGTAGGCACTCTTCTGTGCCACCGACCTCTAGAACTTACTCACCGAGCTTAACACCCATTGAATGGCAGCTTCCCATTTTCCCAAACCCCAGCCCTGGAAACACTATTATATTCTCTGCCTCTGTGAGTCTGACTCTGTTAGGTACCTCACAGGAGTGAATCATGCGGGACTTGTTCTGTTGCGTGTGGCCTACTTCACCGGGTGTAATGTCCTCCAGGCGCATCCACTACACATTTGGTTATTTGTTGTTTTTTAACCAATCCACCCAGTGGCAACAGCAATGTTCCTATATCCTTGAAGTCCTTTGGGAGGACAATGAGTCATGAATCGGTGATATTTGAATTTTATAGTTCTGGGCCCTTCTTGGCTTCCTTAGTTTTTTTCTTCCTCACATTTGTGAACAAATATTTATTTATTACTGTCATAACCACATCTTTAAAAGACAAGTATAACATGTTTCATGTTATGTTTGTTATCATTTATTGCCCCAAATTATATGTTCTGATTTATATTTTTTAGAGCAGTTTTAAGTTCACGGCAAAACTGAGTGGACAGTGCAAAGACTTCCCACAGTCCCCCCTTCCACACACACACACATGCATAGACGCTCCACCGTCAACATCCTGTGACATCCTGTGACCGAGGATGCATTTGTTACAATCGATGAACCTACATTAACACATCACTTTCACCTGAAGTCCATAGTGTACTTCGGTCTTCACTGTTGGTATACACTTTATGAATTTTGACAAATGTATAATGTGTCCCTCGTTATTATAGTATCATACAGAGGCGTTTCACTACCCTAAACAAATACACACACACACACACACACACACACACACACAGAACACGGGGCATGGTCATGCCATAATCTCCTTCTCCGCTATTTCAGGAAAAAGGCAAGAGACAGGGATAGCAAGGCCCTGCCCAAAACACCTATCCCCGCCCAGCCTCCTGATTAGCTGGGATTATAGGCACGTTCAACTGCACCTGGTATGTTTAGGTTGGCACAGAAACTGAACCAAGTCCTTCCATGTGGCCTCCTGCCTTCCAGGCAGGTTTGCTACCTGTGTGCCACTGTGGCTAGGCTTCCAAATTCCATTTTACAGCAAATACAGTCAGATTCAAGAAGACGCTCTGAGATTGACCAGATCTTTTCCTTCATCAGCCAAGAACACAGTAGAAGCACCTCGTCTATATTGGCCATCATTTTGGGGGGTACTGAGTCATATGATCACCCCCCCCAATCTTTAAGTATTAACTTTCACATTTTCAAGGTATTCTCCTCTATTTTAGATGCATGTGATCACATTGCGAACTAAGGATACTTTGCTATAGGAGGTGGCCCACTCTTGGGTAAGAGTGCAGACTGGGATGTGAGTTTTAAACGCGGATGTGTCCAGTAATCCCGAAGTGGGAGAGCAGTGGAGGGTGGGTCTGCGTCCAGGTTGGGTCTCTCTGACCCGGAGCTCTAATCCTGGATGCTCATCACCTTAGGAGGATGAGGACGCCTTAATCTCCGTCTTCAGGCTCTTACCCTCAGCAAACCCCTCCGGGCAGCACATAGACGACTTAGCTGGTGCTAATTCTGTCTCACCTGATTAGGGCAGTAGTAGTAAGACACGAACTTCAGGAACCACAGCTCTCACCAGATCAGCAGATATTTACTGAGAGCTTGCCTAGTGCACAGGAGCCAGGTGTCGGTTAGATTTCGTTTGCTTTCCCGGCTATGCTATGACCATTCATTAAAACCCGTGCCATTTCAGTTTGGCAAGTCCTGGATGTGACCAGTTACATGTAGAATGGTTATTGCAGGTATAATTCATGTATTCTGGGATTATATGCATTATAATGAATTAATTTTTAAATAACTACTGTAGCTGTATTTTTTTTTTTCAAAATAGATCCATGAACTAAATGTTTCCACAATTCTGAGAGGAATAAATAAACATTCTTAAATTAAAATGAAGGGGAGATATCCTTAAGGGTCATTTTATTGAATGAATTAATCCTCAGTAGCTTTACATATTCACTCTACCATATGTCCTGTATTAATGAGGTTCTGAAAAACATAATAATGCCTAAAGAGTAATTCACACTTCCTTACATTTATTTTCAGTTTTTAAAATGATAAATGGGGAAAGCCTAAGAATTAGAAGGTCAAGGGGACCAGCAGATGGTGTGGTGGTTAAGGAGCTGGATACTCCCACATGGCTGGCCATGGTTCGAGTCTCAGACCTGGTGGCTTGCTCTCTCACTTTCCCTCTCTCTTTCTCTGTCTCTCTCTGGTCAAATTAAAATAAATGAATGAATAAATAAAATTTTTAAAAAAAGAACAAGAAGGTCAAGAGTTGCCTAAAACACATTTAATTTAGCAGAACATTTAGCGGGGAGAATAGAGATCATGTAGTTCCTTGGGGACCAGCAGATGGTGTAATGGTTACATTGCTCGACTCCCATGTAGTCGACTGTGGTTCACGTCCCGGACCCAGTGGCTTAAACTCACGTCAGATGCATGTGCATGCATGCCCAAAATCCTGAGAGGAGAATGGAGGAGAAGGGATTGCAACATGGCCATCCCCTTGGGAGGTAATTTCTTACTTTCTGCCTCTCTGTCTTTCTTGTGAACAAAAATATCTTTAAAAATAAATAAAATAAAATGAAATAAAATGATAAATGGTAAATCCTAAAAATTAGAAAGTCAAAAACTGCTTAAAAACATTTAATTTAGCAGAAAATTTAGCTAGGAGGATAGAGATCAAAATAATTTCTCATAGACAGTAGTTAGACATGTAAAAAAATCTATTTTTATATTCAGTAAGAAAAAAGGTTAAAATTCTATTATATTGTATAAGATAAAAATAATTGTATTGATATTCAAAATACATTTGTTAATTGAAATGAAATTTGAGATAAGTTTAAGTGACTAATTTGGCATAAAACATTTGACTGTTTTTCATTGTAGCTATTCCTATTTCCAGAGAGGATTACAAAGAAGTTTAAAATTAGTCCAAGCTCTTATTTAAAGTGGATGAAATTGCTACATTTAAGATATCTTCAACCCAAATGTGCATTATGTAACAAGACAAATTAGGGCCAGCCCCACAGCCTATTGGGTAAGAGAGAGGATCCCACATGGCTGACCACAGTACGAATCCTGGCCACACACCAAGTGCGTGTGCCCATGGGCCTCGAATCCTGACGGGATGGAGAAACGGAGGAGAGGGAGTGGCAGTGCGACTGTGCCACTCGGGTGCTTTCGCTCCCTCTCCTTCTCTGGTGAGCACACACATTCTATGGCAATAATTTAAAAAAAAATTATGAAGAAGACAAATGACGTTGCTTGTTAAATATCTGGGTGACTAGTGTCAACTCAGCCTCCATTCTACATCTTTGCAAAGCTC